TATATTTATGTATTAGAATGGATCAGTGGCAGGGGTTGAAAAATACCATTGCCCGACGCCCGTGCCAAGTAAGGTTTAGATGTCGGGCGTGTAATATACGTTTTCTAGCATGCCCGTGGACAAGTAGAGCACACAAAATGAACTGGGTCAAGTTTCACGCGAATGTAATCATGTGATCATGTTACGGTATTTGATTGGCTAATATTTTGTTAGTGTCCCAGACTGACAATGTAATTTGCATACAGCTACGCCAGTCAATCAATGGGATTAATACATTTCGATGTCAGGCAGGTCAACAACGAGAACCAGGCTTGTTTCATTGTTAACACTTCCATATATGGCACAAGTTTCTTGGAAATGGAATTTCTTGGAAATTGTAACGCGAGGTTGAAACATTTTCCGACTTTAGATGCTTCGTTAGGCCGAGCTTTGATGAAATATAATTTTGTCGAACTACAACAAACGGAACTTTTAACGAGTGAAAGTATGGCATTTATTTAATATGTGTTTCTTTTCGTTGACAACTAAAGTTCATTCGAGGCGCTGACCGTGGTTGCTGTAAATAACAGCGAGTTGTGCGATCTATCGACCCCTTTACGCACGATTTCGGCAAAATTGATCTAAACTGTATTGAATGAAATTTTAAATAAAATTAATAAAGTATGCTACAAACATATGTCAAGGTACAATCGTGTTTTTTTTATAACCAGATAGTAATAATAGGATTTAATTGCGGAATTTGTTGATTGGTATTTCCGGTGTTGCGTACAGGTGGTAATGATTTTGCGATGGGGAAATGACATCGTGTCAGTGACTTGAGTTTACTAAAAGTGTATATAAGTTTTGGGAACCATGTGTTACCGCACACCATAACCGAGTTAGCGCTATATTGAAGAGTGCAATAGCGAGGGATCACTGTAAGTAAATCTGTTGTTTCAAATGAGTAAGCTAGTAAAGGACAGAGTAGCCTCCCTTTGCCTCATTAGCACCCAGAGGGGTATCTGCAATAACAATTTATATTGCCAGTACCGCACATGGCCGATCATGTCTCAGCGGTCTATTTTAAGTTTCTTTGGTGGGGACGAACTTAAAAGGAAGGCAGAGGGAAATTCCGAAAGTTGTATGTCGGCAAAGAATAAAAAGTATGACGAATGTAAACGAAAACGAACATTCATCGCTGGGTGGAAAAGACCAGTTTCCTTGGGTTGCGTATGATGACACAGCGAAAGTCATGAAGTGCACCATTTGTTCCAAGTACCCAAACATACACGCTTGCAATCGTAAGAGAACGTTTATTGATGGATGTTCAAATTTCATAATTTTATTCTCAGTTCTGCAGCAGTAACATTTTACTGAATTTATTAGCTTGATTTTGGGCTAGTACATTTTAAAATAGGGCAAGTGAGAATGTTGGTCATACTTGCCCTTGGTCAAGTAACATTTTTAATAATTTTTCAACCCCTGAGTGGTATTACACTTATTCAGTGCTTCTGCAGACTAAGTTGTTGCTAGTCACTGTGAAACAGGGTATATATGATCTTGTTTTACTTGTAAATATTGAAACAAATGTTTTACATGCGTTACTCCATGGTAGTTGTAAGATCCTGTTCAGAAGATGACAAGATTGTGCCATGATCTGTGACCTGTGCCAGGTCCTTGGGTCACAGCTCAACCTGAATGAGGATCTTTAGTCTATCAGCACATACTGTGTCTGATGGTTTCACAAGGTCAAGAATGTCCACGACCTGCTCTCTTTTGGCCTTCATCCCACCTTAGGAGCGGTGGGGTAGCCTTGTGGTTAAAGCCTTGTCTCGTCACGTGGAAGGCCTGGGTTTGATTCCCCACATGGGTACAATGTGGGAAGCCCATTTTTCGGTGCCCCCTGCCGTGGTTATTGCTGGAATATTGCTAAAAGCGGCGTAAAACCATACTCACTCACTCATCCCACCTTAATATTGTTCAAAGTTGTGTTAATCCCATTTCGTTACTCATTAATATTAAGTAAAACACGTCTAAACAGCAGAAAATTAGGTGACAGCTCTATTAGTTTTGGGAGCTCAGTTAAGATATCTATCAGACATGGCATAAGGTTCATTAAACCTTGAGTCTGGCTCTAGAATATTACATTGTCACTGGTATCTTGAGATGTATGTTGTCCTGACATCCCTACCATGTTGTATTGTGTACTGTATGGCACAGACACCACCTGCTCATCAGTATTGGTGGTAATCTGATTGTGGACAATATGCAATCCAGCATGAGGTACTGGTTGTGACCATCTCTCACAGCTGGGGTGAGCAAGGCCACCAGAAGACTGGCAAGAGACATTTGTGTAGTGGGAAGGAAAAAATGTCTAAACTGCCTTAGAATACGATATGTCAGAACCCAACGGGTTTTATACATGTCAGGGTTTATAACCGTCTGAGAGCTTGTCCTACTGGGACTCCTCAAATTGTTTTTCCTATTTGAATAAAACAGCAGACTTTGGAGACGAGTTTATTTATTTCAGCAAATTACTTCCTGGATTGAGGATGAATGGTTTTTTTAACTGACATTTAAGTTTCAAATGCTCATTGTTTCCCAATGAGGCAAAACAGGAAGTTTAGAACAGTCGAAATATAACTGTAACTGCTTGTAAACACTATCTGTGTCTCATGATAAAATCAAATATAAGGGCGCAAGTGGTACACATGAACTCTATGGTTACACTACAAGTCACTAATGTTTGCATTTCTTTCTATCTATGCACCCATTCCTTCTGATTTTTCATATGGTTGAGAACTTCAGTAAACTTCAGTGTATGAATGACCAGATTGTTTAATACATATATCGAAATATGTTTGCCAGGGCTATGCTAAAATGTTCACAATCGGACATTTTGAGACATCTCCTGAGACCTACAGTGGGTACCCGGGTAGGGTCGAGTAATAGGCGGTGGGATGGGGGTGTGGGGGTGGGTATGGGGGGTTGGGGACTCATCCCAGCCCTACCTGCAAGGAAGGGTGGCCCTGTGGACTGTGAGGCACATGCATTTCCTTGTGTAAAGTTGCATACCTTAAATGTTGCAGCAACTGTCAGTCATGGTTTGAATCCTAGATTTGTCAGCTACACCATATCACAACATGCTACAACATGTAGGTTTGTCAATCACTGGATTGTCTGGTCCAGACTCGATTATTTACAGACTGCTGTCGTGTAGCTGGAATATTGCTTAGTGTGGCATTAAACAACAAACAAACAAACCCTCTCAGATTGTTGGAAGGTGGAGGATATTATTGGGTAGAAAAGACATTGTGTGTGTACCCCATGTATATTGAAACAACAACTGAAATGGGCATTGGGTGGTCAAAATGGCTGCCAGACATATATGACATTTTTGGTGTAGAATAAATCTTAAGGCTTAACTTATGAATCACAAGACCAGCATTGCTTGTCATTAACATTGCTGACCATGTCATCATCCTCAGTTCACTCACTCACTCAAACTATAGAACCACAGTACACTGTCCTTGAGTGCACTTCAGTTATACAGTCAGCACATTGATTTAGGTAGGACTCACGTCCCATGTTTAAGCATGACATACAGACTCGAGAGAGAGTATGGCTGATCAATGTGACCTTTGTGTAGTCAAGTAGTAATGGTACTCCTAGAGTGTTTAAGTAAAACACCATCTGTTTATCACAATAACTGGAACAAACACTCGGATTGGCATATCATTGTCAGGTCGTATTCCTGAGATTTAGTCATGGCATGGTAGTTCTTATTTGAAAATTGGGTGGGGTAGTCCATTGTTTGGTGTGTCCTCATCATGTTGAAGACCTGGTTCCCAATGATTACCCACATGTGTACAATAAGAGAATGGGTTTCTTAGTGCTCCTTCTGTGATAAGACCCCTTGATAAGTGAGTGAGTGAGTGAGTGAGTGAGTGAGTTGGGTTTAACGCCGCTTTTAACAGTATTCCAGTCATATTGCGGCGTGTCAGCTTAATGTGGGAGGAAAGCCCGAAGTGATGCAGGTCTCAGACATTTACCACTTCGGTGAAACCCACGAGCACGGGTATGGTGCTGACAAACCTAGAAACCTAATCGGGGCGAACCGGGATTCGAACCCACTCTGCACAGCGAATCGCAGCGCCTTAGATGACTGGGCCACCCGTACCCCCCAAGACCCCTTGATAAATGAAACACATGATATGTTGATTACTGGTGAAGAAGAGGCAGATCCAGGAGTAGAGTGGTCGGGTGTTGTGTCCCCCTTTCTGAAAATTACATATACCAATAACATAGATTTGGTTTGAATGTCGTCCAGTCCTAATACTCATTGTCACCCCTTTCTTTCAATATTCTAGTAGCCAATCTCCAAGTTATTTAATTATTGATATATTAGAAAGCCTGTCCACATGCTGACATACCTGCAGTTAACTTTAATCATCGGTTATGTGACAGCAGCTCTGTATGTTCTGGTCACTTGACAAGTATAGGAGACTCCTGTCCGTCACAAGTGAACTGGTTCCATCTGACCTCCAGTCCGAAGTGTCACCTGGAGTTTGCTTTCTGGAATAAGCTTTCTTGTTACCCTGTCGTGGACTTGTTGGTGAACAACCTCTGACATTCTCAAACGTTTGGAGACAGATTTAAACAACTCCTGGGTTTAACCTATTGAACTGATTCAAGCAGACATCCAATCCGGTGTTTCATGGGACGTCATCCGTCACCTTCAGTTTATTTTCTGAAATAAACTTCATATTATTGTGCTGTTGGGACACTCTAGCTTTGACTTTTAAACGTTTATGATGTATAACAGACATCTTTACCGGGACTTACTTCACTGACGTTTCCATTTCACATCACCTGAAACGCATCTGTGAACAAGAGTCAACCAAAACACAATTCGGCCTTCTGAGGAAGGTTCTTTAAAGAAACTGATCGGCAACATTAAGATTTGCATTTTACTTTCCCATAAGTGCCAGCCATTTACATCTGAATATTTTTTTTTTCAGCTATGCATGACACCGGCCAGGTCGTGCTGGTTATCGTGGGCTCGTTTGGTGCCGTCATAGGCCTGGTCCTGGGAACTGTCCTGTGCAGCTGGTGTTTTGGGAAGAAGAAGAAGGTTGATGAAGAGGAGGAAGTGTTTGGGAAGAAGTTTAAGGATGAGGAAGCTGGAAATGTCCCACCTACGGGCATCCCGAAAGGAGGTACCCCGGGATCGCCTGCTCTCACCCGGAAAACCATCAAGTAAGTTTCTTTTGAAATCCGTATCTTTTGTTGAAGGAAATGGATGTAGGTTTGCTCCAACAGTCCCAGATGATGTACAGACAAGTGTAGTGCACGTGCGGTCACAATAGCAGTTGACCAAGAAATTGATAAGAATATTGTATATATATTAACTCAATACACTTGCTCTTCATCTGATGCAGGAGCTAGAAGTAGCCCTAAAACATTGTAAGAAACAATAATAAACAAGTTGTTATCCATAAATCTTTTATATTTTCATGTTCATCCAACTCCTTAATGCCTGTCAAAGACTTTAATGTTTTACAGTGATTATTTGGAAACATGTTAAACTTTTGAAAAATTGCAGTTAAAATTTGTAAAATTTTGACACATACAAAAATTAATGAATTTTCTATACCCGTTTCTATGCTGTTTCCGGCTTAGTTTTTTGGTAAATACACAAGGTAATCTTAATCCCTGGATGTAAAACAATGCTTAGCAGAACAAAAAATACAATTTAAACGGTAAATAAACATGTCTGGTGATTTTTTATTTCAAATTTAGAATTTGTACTGACCAAGTTTCTCATCACCCGTTAGTTTACCGGAATTCGCTGAAGGGGTAGATCTATGGGTAGGTGTCATGTTTTTCTGCGCTTGACATTCAAATTTTTTTTCTCCAAAATACTGAATCCGCTAGAGGGGGGTGCACATTATACATGGGTCCGCACTATACTCAAGAAAATACGGTAATTCTTTTGAATACATTACCTCATAACCATCAATCCTGCATATCGGCTGTCCTCTATAAAATCTTAAAATTTTCAACACTTCCAGCTATCTAATAGTATATGTTTTCTTGATGAACTTCCAATTCTTTATGGTAGACAGACAGTAAAAGCAGTAACTGTTATCAAAAGTCTCAACATTGTCTGGAGTTAATAATGGAGCGATAATGTGATGTGTTATGCTAAACACATTCCCTCACTCATATACTCCGCTATTTGATTGCCTCCAGATTTACTCATTGTTTATGTGTAATACCTACCGTTTCTGTAACTCTACTGTTTTCAATTGAATATTACTTAACATGCTGCATCAGCTATATTCAGCCAGATTATGAATTAAAAGACAATTTGCAAATCTATGTTTTGAATGTTGATATTTCAGATGTTTTATCTTTATTCTGTATTTTCTCTCTTGATGTTGTCTTTCAATCTCTCCATTGTCAACGTTCGGGTAAGGTGTTTCACTCATACTCATACATGTCTGATAATATATTGTGTGCACTGTGTTTCATTTCTTTCAGGATTAATATCTGCTCTCTATATTTACTAATGATACTTTGCATTTGTTTTTCTTGCAGGTTACATATGATATATACAATTATTAATTTAGACATGGAACTGTATCAGACAAATTCTGAATTAAATTAATTGATTTTACTCTTGGTGATACATCCCAAATTTCACTTACCTCCTTCATCTTTCTAGTAAATAAAGAGACAAAACCCTTTCCATATCCAATAGAAATCTCTGCATTAACCAAAGTCGATTGTACGATACTGATTATATCATGAGCATGTGTTTATGAATCATTATCAAATAGCAAAAGTACCAGGTGTTCGTGAAAAGTTGAACATATCCTGCCCCACTGATGGTACCCATCACAAACACGTGCAAAGGCAAGTCAATTTTTCACCTGAAAAAAACCCAGGAACTTATGGTAAAATAGGGGATTGCTTCGGACATCATTTTTGTCACTGATGCGTCAAATTTGGAAATGTCCTCCACATAGTCAAAGCTGTCGAATGGGTTGTCCCTAGATGTAGTACTCATATACCACTGAGTGAGTTCATAGTGCTGCAGAATTCAGGATAGTTATTGATTATTCAAAATGTCAGGGCATTGCAATGAATAAAGCAACAGATGACACAAAGTTGAACTTTATCTGAAGTAACAAATCTAAGGACCTAAACTCACATTGATGACACCCGGTGTCGTAATCTGTAGTCTTTTTCACTAGTCAGTTCAAGGTCATGGTTATGGTGCTGTTGGCAGAGACAGTAATCTTTGACCATAGTGTCAAGCACCATTCGGACATTGGGCTTAAGTAATTATAAAGACAAGATATCTGTACCGGTAACAGTTGTTTGTTGTTCAACGCCACACTCAGCAATATTCCAGCTAGATGATGGTGGTCTGTAAATAATTAGGTCTGGAGCTGAACCAGAAAATCCAGTGGTTGACATCATGAGCATCGATCTACACAATTGGGATACGATGACATGCATCAACCAAGTCATCGAGCCTGACTACCCAATCCCTTTAGTCGCCTCTTACGACAAGCATATTGCTGGAATATTTCTAAAAGGGGCGTAAAACCATACTCACTCACTCCCCTTTTGCAGCAAGCATGAGTTGCTGAAGTAGTAGAGTAGTGCAATATTAATGTCATCTTGTTTGCTTTTTTTGGTCTTTGAGCATCTAAAATTCCAAGCTCTGTAAATGAACACCATACATTGGATGTTAACAAGTCATTAGAGGCTACTGAATTGATTAATTGGTGGTCAAGTCATTAGAGGCTACTGAATTGATTAATGGGTGGTCAAGGTCGGTGAGTTGATGTTGGCAAATCCTGCCATTGTGGATCATTGCTCGTAATATCAATCACTTGAAACTGAAACTGATGATGATTTCATAATCTTCTGAGACTTGTTCAAAAGAGATAGAAGGTATTTCCTATTTTCTATGTCATTTCTCAGGTAAAAGGTGAGTTGGCTAGTTTTATCAGTCAAACAGAAGGTCAGTATTAGCCATAATGATTGATGAAGATGAGGATATGTACATTCAAGTGCAATTTAATCACCTGCTCATGGCACAGACAACAATTACACTGATGGTCAAGGGATCAGTGTGCATTCTATTTGCATTCTCAACTCCCTGGGGAGTATGCATATGATACATCTGATCTCACCAACAATGTTAATTAATAGCCAAATCCTCTATGGCACATTTTTTCTTCCCTCATGGCACTTAACTTGATGTCCGGTTTACAAGAAGACTGTGTTTAATGTTTATGGCAAACGTGCTTGAGTTGTGAAACTCATTCTTTTCACGAAGACAACATTTTGCTGTAGTTGTGCTGGGTGATGTTTGTGGAAATACTTGGACAAGAATACTGGCAAAACCTACTTGTCTGGTGGCCATTATGGGCTATACTTGTCAAGCTCTTTATAAGCACAGTTCTATTTTACCATTGCTTTGCTTTTCAGTGTCATCTGTGTGAAGTCTTGTTTGGTATGGAGTTTATAGTTGCCTTTCTTATCGCAATGAAATGTGTCCGTTTTGAACCAAATGACAAATTAAAACATTAATTCTCACACATGTGAATGGCTTATCTGAGTTGATGGTCATGTTTAGAATCATTGAGAAACTCAGTTGGGATTCATAGACAGATTAGATTTCCATGTTCCCATGTGAGGCAAGATAGGTTTAATGCCACGTTCAAAATTATTTCACTCTTGTAGCGATGTGCATGCATGTGTGTGGCTGCTTGTACTAGTCCGAACTTATGCTGGGCCCTAGTCCATAAAGCAGTCTTTGCACTAAGATGATCGTTATTCCCATATTTTGACAGTCATTGCTTAGCGTTAAGACTGTTTTGTGGAACAGGACCGAGGTTTATAGTGCTAGGCCACTGAGATACCATGCCAATGGGGCCCAGGTTTATAGTGCTAACCCACTGAGATACCATGCCAACAGGGCCCAGGTTTATAGTGCTAGCCCACTGAGATACCATGCCAATGGGGCCCAGGTTTATAGTGCTAACCCACTGAGATACCATGCCAATGGGGCCCAGGTTTATAGTGCTAGCCCACTGATATACCATGCCAATGGGGCCCGGGTTTATAGTGCTAGCCCACTGAGATACCATGCCAATGGGGCCTGGGTTTATAGTGCTAGCCCACTGAGATACCATGCCAATGGGGCCCGGGTTTATAGTGCTAGCCCACTGAGATACCATGCCAATGGGGCCCGGGTTTATAGTGCTAGCCCACTGAGATACCATGCCAATGGGACCAGGGTTTATAGTGCTCACCCACTGAGATACCATGCCAATGGGACCAGGGTTTATAGTGCTAGCCCACTGATATACCATGCCAATGGGGCCCGGGTTTATAGTGCTAGCCCACTGAGATACCATGCCAATGGGGCCTGGGTTTATAGTGCTAGCCCACTGAGATACCATGCCAATGGGGCCCGGGTTTATAGTGCTAGCCCACTGAGATACCATGCCAATGGGACCAGGGTTTTTAGTGCTAGCCCACTGAGATACCATGCCAATGGGGCCCGGGTTTATAGTGCTAGCCCACTGAGATACCATGCCAATGGGGCCCGGGTTTATAGTGCTAGCCCACTGAGATACCATGCCAATGGGGCCCGGGTTTATAGTGCTAGCCCACTGAGATACCATGCCAATGGGGCCCGGGTTTATAGTGCTAGCCCACTGAGATACCATGCCAACGGGGCCCGGGTTTATAGTGCTAGCCCACTGAGATACGGGGCCCAGGTTTATAGTGCTAGCCCACGGAGATACCATGCCAACGGGGCCCAGGTTTATAGTGCTAGCCCACTGAGATACCATGCCAACGGGGCCCAGGTTTATAGTGCTAGCCCACGGAGATACCATGCCACAGTTTAACATGAATAACACACTCACAGTAGTTTTACATCTTTTGGTACAATGAGGCCACTTTTGGATTGACCACATTCAAGTTCCCCCGATGACTGTGTGACCTGGCTGATAGGTCTTCATCATACCCAACCTCATAGATAGTCATCATGTTATCAACCTCTAGTTGACCTTCGCCCAGGCCCAGTATCTTCCAAGGCACTCATCGTTTATTTCTTTGATAAACATTGTTCTTTAACTTCTTTTGAGTAGTATATCTAACCAATGCAGCAATTTTGGAAGTCTTGTTTCTAATGAATATTTAACTGATGAATGGCAGCTTGTTGG